AGCTCCATCATATAAACACGAAAGAAACTGTTCTAAAACTTTATTTTAATAACACAAAAGTGAATATGAAATAATAACGAAAATAATGATGCATTCAAGAAAAATATACTTACCAAATTGCCGTTTCCGGTCAAAAATCTTGTCAGTTTGAACTAAGCATATCTAGCCGGCAATTAATTTCTATGCAATTAACCGAAACGCCACTTGTAAGGCTATGCATATAACCGGATAATTTAACATAAGACGAATGAACAAGGAATTATTTGAATCTGGAATAATTTTGAATTCTGGAAAATTGATGAGAAATATATGATGAAAACTAACCCAACTAAATAGGATTAGCCATGCGTGCATGGCTAAGGTTAATTTTACTTTCACTATCATTTCAGTATGAACTAACTAACCCCCCTTAGCCATGCGTGCATGGCTAACACTATTTAGTTGGGTTAGTTTTCATCATACATTTCTAATCAATTTTCCAGAATTCAAAATTATTCCAGATTCAAATAATTCCTTGTTAATGGGAAATGGTTTTGTGCAGGAGAAAATTATGCAATTAACCAAATTATGCTATTAAGCGGGATGCGATTAAGTGGAGTCGACTGCATTAATTGATTTTGGCTTTTAACTAGCTTTCAATAACTGTGAGTACTCTCAAATCTTACTCTAGTGTTTTTTGACCTGTTGATACAATTTGTATTTATTTTCGTTATTTAATGTTTACTTGTTTTGTGTTATATCTCGTCTCACTATTTTTAATATATACCACCTTTGATAAATATTTAGTGTGTTGATAAATTTTTACTTCTGTTCTTGTACTATGAACAACAAATTTATATATTTTGTAAAAAATATTTCTGTACTCCATGTACTCCTTACAACAAAATTATTTTTATTTACCTGTGTACGTTATTTAATTTAACGGCATTTTGTCCAAGGTTAGAGTTGTCTTTCTGGTTTTGTTTTACATCTACCACCCTGCCTCCTTTTTTACTCCCCTTTTTAATTAATTTTGTATTTATATCATATATATCGTTCATAGTATGTTTAATTGTTTTTATACAACCGCAAAAATTTTGGAGTTGTATAATGCTATCACGTCGTCGTCAGTGTCGTCGTTGTCCGAAGACATTTGGTTTCCAGACAATTACTTTAATTACAAATGTGTAAGTGTATGGATCTCTCTGACATTGTAATACAATGTTCCATATCACAAAGGGAAGGCTGGGATTGAGTTTGGGGGTAATTGCCTCAAGCATGAAGGAATTAGGGGCAAAAAAGTAGCAAAAATAATAATTTTTCTAGTTTCCAGACAATAACTTGTGTTTAAGTGTATGGATCTCTCTAAAATTGTACTAAAAGGTTCCATACTACAAAGGGACGACTGGGATTACGTTTGGGGGTAATTGCTCCAAGGAGGTTCAAAAAGTTGGGGGGGGGGGGGGGGATTTTTGTTTCAAATTTTTTTAACATGTTTAAGGGGTTCATACTTTTTTTTTCTTCAAAATTTTTCAAATCTTCAATTGCACAGTATTGCCAAATAGATTTTTATGCCCCCACCATAGTGTGGCATTAAGTTTTACCCTTGTCTGTCTGTACGTATGTCCGTTTGTACGTCCCAAAGTTGGTTTCCGTTCTCTAACATTAGTTTGCCTCAACCAAATGTTATGAAACTTATACACAATGCTTATTACCACAAAATACAGATCAAGTTTGAATTTTGGTGGGGTCGCTTTAACCATTCACAAGTTATGCCCCTTTATAAATGGAAAACAATGCAAAATTTTTAGTTTCCGTTCTCTAACTTAAGTTGCCTCAACCAAATGTTATGAAACTTATACACAATGCTTTTTACCACAAAATACAGATCAAGTTGAATTTTGATGGCGTCACTTTAATCATTATTGAGTAATGCCCCTTTATAAATTGAAAAATTGCAAAGTTTTTAGTTTCCATTCTGTAACTTAAGTTTGTCCCAACCAAACATTATGAGACCTATACACAATACTTATTACCACAAAACTCAGATCAAGTACAAATTTGGGTAGTGTCACTTTTATGGTTCTTGAGTTATGTCCCTTTATAATGTTGTATGCAAGCGGGGGCATCATCTGTGTCCATGGGGACACATTCTCCATTTATTTAAGATCTTTGATCACATTTAAACCTTTATATTATGTCAAAAATATGATCATAAACCAAATTCAGACAGTATCAAGCTTGAATATTGTGTCAAAATTTGCCTCAGTCAGTAGGACATTCAACTTCATTTGGTGTATGGAATGAAGTAAAGGTACATATATATGTAGGACTCTGAACCGCGATGGTGCTCCGAACCGCGATGGTCATGCTGATGTGCGATGGTTTGACGCTGAAGTGCGATGGTGGCATTGTGACGCTATCTTGTTGATACCTACGCCGAAGTGCGATGGCAGTGACGCTGAAGTGGGATGGACTACATAAACTATATTTTCAATGCTTTTCATTTCGAAGTCAATTTGTTTGTTAGAAGCAGTTTTGGGGTTTTTAAGTTAATAAAGGGCTTATATAGATATAAGAAGATGTGGTATAAGTGCCAATGAGACAACTCTCCATCCAAGTCAAAATTTATAAAAGTAAACCATTATAGGTCAAAGTACGGTCTTCAACACGGAGCCTTGGCTCACACCGAACAGCAAGCTATAAAGGGCCCCAAAAATTACTAGTGTAAAACCATTCAAACGGGAAAACCAACGGTCTAATCTATATAAAAAACGAGAAACGAGAAACACTTATGAACCACATCAACAAACGACAACTACTGAACATCAGATTCCTGACTTAGGACAGGTGCAAACAATTGCAGCGGGTTTAAACGTTTTAATGGTACCAAACCTTCACTTTTATCTGAAACAATAGTGTAACATCCCAACATAGAAAGACACACTATAAAATATCAATTGAAATGGCTTAACTCAACCAAAAGACATATTAACACCAGTGAATATATACTGAACAAATAAATTTGATCTATGATACAATGTAAAAACAAAAAAAATAAACTTATACACCTTTAATACTTCGGGAAATGGAGTGTGATCGCGGGAGAGGGAAAAGTAAACCTTCTGTAGCGGATTTTTTTTGGAAATCTACGAGATTTTTTTCAAGCTACGTACGAAGGAGCGTGGCATTCTCTAAATACATACGGGTCCGCAGACTCTTCTAATATAACGGTAAACGAGGATCTCGTGAGAGGAACAAAGTACAGATAAATGTTATCTCAGAATTATGTCCACATGCAGAAAATCAAAGAGGACTATCGTTCATTTTGTATGCAACTGTAACAAATGACATATATAGACAATAATGAATGCTAATCTATATACCAACTATACTGCTCATAATAATTGCACATCTGTAGATTTTAAACTAGCTATCACGCGTCATATAGACCATCGCACATCAGCGAACGGACCATCACACTTCGGCGTAGACCATCACACTTCAGCGTGACCATCGCACTTCAGCGTCCCCATCGCACCCCCGAGTCCTACATATATATAGATCTCTGCTTGGCAGGGTTCATCTGAATAAGACCTATTTTTAAGCTTTCATGATTGTGTCTGTATTGCAGATACTTCAAGCTGCAGGTCAACCATTTTTATACGACCGCAAAAATTAAAATATTTTTGGTCGTATATTGGTATCACGTCGTTGTCGTCATCATCAGCGTCGTCCGAAGACAGATGGTTTCCGGATAATAACTTTAGTATAAGTAAATAGAAATCAATAAAATTTTAACACAAGGTTTATAACGACTAAATGAAGGTTTGGATTGATTTTGGGGGTTATGGTCCTAACTGTTTAGGAAATAGGCGCCAAAAAAGGAGCCCAAATAAGCATTTTTGTAGTTTCCAATGTTTGATTACCTCCCTTACACTGCTTGTAAATTATGTATTAAGAAATGATGATTGTCTTGAGGTAATTAGCTGTCAATTTATTTTAAGCAGTTACTATTGATTAATATTAATTTTAGCCATAACTATGTATGTCATTTTATATTTTAAATCTTTTGTGATGTATTTAAATGGGTAATTATGGTTGCAAACTCCATCAGAAATTTGAATTGAGATACTGACCATATCTTGAGGGAAAGAATTTTTTTTGGAATAAGGGAAAGAAAAGGGGGAGGTGAAAAAAAATTGGAGGGGGCGGGACAATTTTTCTCATTTCAGATTTTCAGAAATTAAAAGAAAATTTCTTCAAATATTTTTTTTGGGGGTTAATATGCAACAGCATGGTGTTATGCACAAAAGCAAAAAACCGTGGTAAATTTTTTTTTTGGGGGGGGGGGGGGGGGGGTCAATTCGCAACAGCATAGTGTATTGCACAAAATAAAAAATTGAATATAAATTCAAATCATATAACCAATTTGAAGTTCTTTGACTACAGTTATTCTATGTCAGAAACCTATTATGTGTCAAAAATTTAATTACAATCCAAATTCAGACCTGTATTAAGCGAGAATATTGTGTCCATTTTGGCCCCAACTTTTCAGGGTTGGACATCTGCTCAGCGAAGCAATTTATTGCCTTTGAAATTATTGAAAGATATACATGTCAGTCTTGCAGATTTTTCTGACCTTGACCTCATTTTTTGGGTTCATTGCTTTATGTTAAATTTTCTTGATTAGGTCTATTTCTTACATACTAAAAGCAATAAGTCAACTATAATCAGAGTATGGAATGATTGAAACGAGTATAAAGCCGCCTTGCATGATTCATCTGACCTTGACTTCATTTACATGGATCATAGATAAAGTTAATTTTATGTGAGACTGAAACGAGTATTTAAAAACATTTATCTTTTGACTTTCCAATATAAATTCAGTCATGATCTGTCACCAGTGTAGCATGATAACCATGAGTACTATTTATACATTTGTTGCCCATAATCCCCAAAATTGCTGTTATTCAAATGTATGGTTAAGCAATATAGTAAAAACATGATATATATTTCAGAGTCTGCTCAAGCTTCACATACATTCACTACTGCTACCGTAGCAGGTGCACCAAATGACATGACTTTTACCGCATCAGATGCACCAAATGTCACTACTGCTATCCCATTTGATCAAGATATAGGTAAGAAATATGAATGTTTGATACTGTAAAGTGCAAAAGTTTTTGCCAGCAGAAAACATACTAATACATCCACATGATGTGGTCTCTAGTGAATACCCTATCTTTTTATGCCCCTGCAACTTAAAGTTGGGGGGCATATTGTTTTACCCCTGTCCGTCCGTCCGTCCTCCCGTCTGTCCGTTCTGTACATCCGTCTGTCCGTCCCATTATGTGTATATAGTTATTCAGCCTAACTCCTCCTACAGTTTGAATCTTAGGAAGTTTTCACTTTGCTGGCTGTTTGTACATATATTGAAGGTGTACATGTGGGCAGGGTTTTGATTTTTATTCATATTTTCTCTTTTGGGAGATAGTTGAACTTTGTCATTTTTTGGAGTATTTACACTACAAAAGTCAAAAAGTCTGAAAAGACCAGTTTTTGTCTGAATTTGCATGAATTTTTACTCAACATTCTTAATTTGTCTGAATAATTTTTAAAAATTCTTGACATAGTATGAACTTGTCTAATAAGGTTCTTGATTTTTCTTGACAAGTGTCTTGACAGTATGAACATTGTCTTAAATTTTCTCGACTTTTCCTGTATCATCTGATAAGAGTCTGGATTAGTCTCGACCAATTCTTGACTGTCTTAAATTTGTCTCGATCTGTCTTGACATATTCTTGACATTCTTAATAATGTCTGAATATGTCTTGACACATTCTTGACAGTCTTAAATATGTCTTGACACTATCTCAACAGTATAAATTTCGCCTGAAATGTGAACAGACTTATTCTGCACTGTTTATGACATTCTATTGCTATTATATACTCCTTTTTATTATGGCTAAACTAAACTTTGAAGAATCAAGGATTAATTTGGTATAGTAAGATACCCTTTTGGTGCAACTAAGTTGGAATACCCTGAATAATCCCCCATGTAGTTTAATTTTGATTTATTTTTATTAAACATTTAAGTAATTGTTTTCACTTGGAATATAAGTCGAAGGTATTGACAAACAGCATTTAGATTTTTGCCGTTCGCAAAACTGCCAGTCAAATTTGCTTTACTAAAAATGGTGTCTTGTATCTCTTTTGGACCCCACAATTCATCTTTTGGGTTTGTGTGGCTAAAAAAAGAGGGGGGGGGGAGGGGCTTTCGTTTAGGTCAAAGAATTTGTTCCCATCTTATTCATTTTTTAGAACAACCCAAAAACATTTTTTATTCAAATTTAAGTGTTGAATTTTATAATTTTTTATCAAAAATATATATTTGTGATAACTCCTTCCTGAAAAGAAAAAAATGTTTAGATCTTTATTATGCATGTCTGTTTGAGAACCATTTCATAAGACCGATGATTTCTATAGAAATCATTGATGGGACCCATTATAAATACATTTTTTTTATTATTCCTGGAGTAGATAATAATTTTCTTTTAATCTTTGGGAATTATTCAATTTGTTTTTATGTGAAAATAATTAACTTCATAATTTTGATGAAGAAAATCCATTGTTTTCATCAAAATGATGATTTTCATTTTCATCTATCAACAAACTTTTTAAATTGTAGTGGCATGGTCGGTCAACTGATAAGGTACAGGTAAAGCAATAACTTCTATTTGACAGTTGCGTGTACTCTGGGGTGTGGAATACCTTAATTTTATGGGGAACATCCTGTCCATGTGTAATACTTAATATATTCCAACAGATGACATTACACAAATTTTTCTTCTGTTAAATGAATGATTTGTATATCATCATAATTTGCTATTTATATAAACCACATTTTGGTATAATAATTATTTACCATATCAACATTGAATATTATGAATGTAGAATGAAATATGTCTACAGTATGATTGGTTTGAATCATTTAATTTATAAGATTTAGGAATCGAAATTTGTAATTATTTAAAAACCCACATTGAAATTGTTTTATATCAACACACCCATATTTGAATTATTTTATACTTTAGATTTCATAGCCATATTTGCATTTGTAAAAATATTTATATACCCAAATTTTCAATTATTTTACATGCGCAACTTTTATTTTTGTTGTAAAGAAGTGTAACTTGAAACAACAGTATATCATATAAAGAGAAATAAAGATTAAAGTTATATCATGAATATTGGTCATGATTTGTAAAACTCAGAACTGTCAAGTAAATTTAAGACTAGATTCAAAATGTTCAGAATATGTCAAGCCATACTGAGAAAAAATAAGAATGTGGAGAATATGTCGAGAAATTTCAAGACAGTATTCAAATGTCAAGAATTTGTCAAGAAATTTTAAGACTATATTCAGAATGTCGAGAATATGTCGAGTAAATTTCATACAAATTTAATATAAATGAGAATTTGTCAAGAAAAATTAAGACACAAGTCATACTTTTGGAGAATGTCGAGTAAAAGTTCATGCAAATTAAGACAAAAACTGGTCTTTTCAGACTTTTAGACTTTTGTAGTGTTCCTTGCATAAGAGGAGCGTTTCCAGATAAATCCTCCTACAGTTTGAATACTAGTAAGTTTTCACTTTGCTGGCTGTTTGTACATATATTGAAGGTGTGCATGTGGTCAGGGTTTTGATTTTTGACGAGCCTGCGACTTTTGTCGCAGAAAGCTCGACATCGGGATAGTGATCTGGCCATGGCGGCGGCGTTAGCTAACTTATTAAAAGCTTTATATTTTAGAATCTAGAAGACCTGGATGCTTCATACTTTGTATATAGATGCCTTATGTTACGAAGTTTCCGTCTGTCATATGTCTATTGTCCTTGACCTCATTTTCATTGTTCAGTGACTACTTGAAAAAAAAGTCACCATTTTTTGTAATGTTAATTTCTTTCTTATTATGAGTAATAGGATAACTATATTTAGTATGTGTGTACCTTGCAAGGTCTTCATGCCCGTCAGACAATTTTCATTTGACCTCGACCTCATTTCATGGATCAGTGAACAAGTTTAAGTTTTCGTGGTCAAGTCCATATATCAGATACTATAAGCAGTAGGTCTACTATATTTGGTGTATGGAATGATTGTAAGGTGTATATGTCCAACTGGTAGGTGTCATCTGACCTTGACCTCATTTTCATGGTTCAGTGGTCAAAGTTAAATTTTTGAGTTTTGGTCTTTTTTCTAATACTATATGCAATAGGTCAACTATAAATGGTGTAAGGAAATATTTTATGATGTACATGTCAGTCTCACAGGTTTTATTTGACCTTGACCTCTTTTTCACGGTTCATTTATTGGTGTTTAGTTTTTATACGCCTGTTTACGGGGCATATTATGGTATACCGTTGACCGTCTGTCCGTCTGTCTGTCCGTCCGTCGTCAACATGTCGGACATTAACCCAAAAACGCTTTAACCAATTTGCATAAAACTTTGTTGAATTGATTATATCTATTGACGTGAGCTTCCTTTTGTTTTTTATAAATTTCAGATTTTTCGTTTCCGAGTTATGGGGTTTTATTCATTAAAAAAAGGGGGATTTTCCAGTTTTCAGACAATTACTCAAGAATGCTTTCACAAACATGCAAGAAATTTTGGTGAATTGTTTATATCTATTGACATGAGCTCCCTTTCGATTTTTATAAATTTTAGATTTTATGTTTCCGAGTTACAGGGTTTTATTCATTAAAAAAGGGGGGATTTTCCATTTTTTTTGGACAATAACTCAAAAAATGCTGTCAGCAATTCTCATGAAACTTTGTTGAATTGTTTATATCTATTGATGTAAGCTCCCTTTTGATTTTTATAAATTTCTAATATGACATTGAGAATTAATTGAACTTTATTTGTTTATAGTCTGACAACAGATTTACTAAGTATTGCGCAATGTATTGCACAACAGCAAGAAATCTTTAATAAATTCAATTCATATAACCAATTTCAACTTCTTTGACTACATTTATTCAGAAACCTATAATATGTCAAATATTTAATTACAATCCAAATTCAGACCTGTATCAAGCTTGAATATTGTGTCCTTTTTTGCCCCAACTGTTCAGGGTTGGACCTCTGCGGGCGAATCCAGCTGCGCTCAGCGAAGCAGTTTATTGTGTTTTGGTCTGTTTTTCTTCAACTATAAGCAATAGATCAACTATATTTGATGTATGGAAGGATTGTAAGGTGTATATGTCTGTCTGGCAGGTATCATCTGACCTAGACCTCATTTTCATGGTTCATTGGTCAATGTTAAGTTTTCATGGTTAAGTTTGTTTCTTAGATACTATAAGCTATAGGTGAACTATATTTAATAGATATATGAAGATGTGGTATGAGTGCCAATGAGACAACTCTCCATCCAAGTTACAATTTATAAAAGTAAACCATTATAGGTCAAGGTACGGCCTTCAACACGGAGCATTGGCTCACACCGAACAGCAAGCTATAAAGGGCCCCAAAAAATTACTAGTGTAAAACCATTCAAACGGAAAAACCAACGGTCTAATCTATATAAAAACAAGAAACGAGAAACACGTATGAACTACATAAACAGACGACAACTACTGTAATCAGATTCCTGACTTAGGACAGGTGCAAACATTTGCAGCGGGATTAAACGTTTTAATGGTACCAAACCTTCTCCATTTTCTGAAACAATAGTATAACATCACAACATAGAAAAACACACTATAAAATATCAATTGGAAGGCTTAACTCAATCAAAAAACGTAAATTAACACACAATGACTGAATAAATTTTACCTGTGACACCTGAATGCAAATACACAGTTAATAAAAAATTACAAGGGATAAATAATTAAAGTCAAAAGTAAATAAACAGGTTTAAACAAAGTTAAAGTATGATATCACTGTGAAATTTCAAACAATTTATAGAAAATCATCACTATTGAAGAAACCTGCGTCATATTATACACAGGTAAATGAAAATAATTTTGTTAAGTATACTTCTTCTTCTGTGTGTATAAAATCTTCCGTTTAGGAATACCAAGAAATTTATGCCTAAATTGATTGTTAGGTGTACATGTCTGTCTGGCATGGTTCATCTGACCTTGACCTCATTTTCATGGTTCATTGGTCAATGTTAAGTTGTCTTGTTTAAGACTGTTTCTTAGAAACAATAAGCAATAGGTCAACTATGTTTGGTTTATTGAATGATTGTAAGGTGTACATGTATTTCTCGTTTGGTTTATCTGACCTTGACCTCATTTTCTTGGATCATGTTAAGTTTATGTGTTACTTGTAGTAAAGCTTTGTATTTAGGATTATCAACATAAAATCAGTGGTTAGTAAAGAAGGCGAGACATTTCAGCGTCTGCACTCTTGTTATTGATATTTGCTCTTTTGGGAGATAGTTGAACTTTGTCATTTTTGGGATATAAGCGGTAAAATGTTATAGTTATTTTAAAATAACACTTTGCATCTGCGGGGGCATCAATTGTGTCTCCCAGACACAATAATATCTCAAAGAAAGTCCTACATTGAATTTGTTATAATACAGTTACTTCAGAGTGGAGTGCGGGGCATCACTTTGTCTAGTTCTTTTTTATAGTTATAGAAAAAATATTTCATGAAATAACCAGTAGTACAGAAAACTGTTAGGAAACATGGTCTCTTTAACTGTCATGACAACAACAGCTATTAAATGTTATATGATACAAGTTTTAACTTTCCAAAATATATGCTCCTACCCTACAATCTTGTTTGATTTTTATCTGCTTTGTTGAATTGAGTTGTTTCCCCTGAGCCTAATGTTATTGTGTTGACATAACACCTAACATTCATTTACCTTTTTTACTTTTATCCCTTGCTATCAATAAGATCTAATACATGTTAGCACTATGCATAGTAGTTGTGAAAATAATTTTCTTTGCTAATAAAGAAATTCATCATACAAACATTCTGTGTTTATTATTAAAGCTGTGCCGATTGCTGGATGTGTTATAGGAATTGCACTAGTTACATATGCAGGATATAATGTCCTAAAATGGATACTCAAAAGGAGAAGGCAACAAAGGGAGTAGAAGACAGAAGAAGAAAAAGACGATTTGCTATAGTGTGATAATTGTAGGTCTGGATAATTGATAGATAAGTTTAAGAAGAAGTGGTATGATTGCAAATGAGAAAGCTCTCCATCAGCTAAAGTTATTAACCATAGGTCACTGTACAGCCTTCAATAATAGATGCTGTGATGATTTAATGATTTCTTGGAATATCTGTGTCATAGATCATTATGGATTAAATCTTTGACTTCTTTTGATTGTCCTAATGGTATCTTCTTACTTTTCTTCAATTTGTTGAATATCTTGAGATTTTGAATTGTTGGTTTGACACCTAAAGGTCAAAATATAGTCTTCAACAATAGGTAAACATCCATACTATTCTATATGGCTCAATTTCACTTTGTTTCTGTCTTTGTATTTGACGTCCGTTAAACTTTTACAAAAATGTTCTCCTCTGAAACTACTGGGCCAAATTAATCAAACCAAACTTGGACACAGGCATCATAGGGGTATCTAGTTTATAAAAAAAATCAAATGAATCTTGCTATCAAACCAAGATGGCAGACATTGCTTAAAATAGAACAGATGGGGGAAGTGCAAGTTTTGTCTATTGCTTTGAAAACTGCTGTAATATGAGAAAATCTTACAGGGGCAGAAATGTGCAGAATGTTGAGCTTTACCTTTTATCCACATTACGTCTAAACTGTCAAAAGACTTTCTATTAGAGTTATTGTCCTTAAATTACCTTCTTTTTTTAGCTCACCTGACCAACAGGGCCTATTGAGCTTTTCTCATTACTCGTCGTCCTTTGTCCTCCCTAGTTGTTGTAGGGCCAAGTGAGCTTTTGTCATCACTTGGCGTCTGTTGTCCTTCTCCCTCGTGGTCTTCCATTGCCATTGTTCGTTAACCTGTACGTAAATCATCTCTTCTGAAACTACTTGGCCAATCGGAACTAAACTTGTCTACAATCATCATTGAAGTATCAAGTAAAAAAAAATGGATAACTTTCAACTGACCCATATTTTGGAAGCTCATCCCCGATGTTTCTATACCTACCAGGGTCATCAAATAACCTGTAATTTCGACATTTGACCTGTTTTCATCAGTATTTTTATGCCCTTAGACTAAGTATAAAATGTTATAGATTTCATACGTGATTTTCATTTAAAATACATGTACCTGCAAACTTCTTCATGGACAGGAAGTTCAACTAGCTTTGTTAACTCAAATTAAGTGACCCATTCAGGGCATGGCTTCACTTGACAGCTTTTGTAAAAGTTTCATTACTACTTCCAATGAAATGCTTACTTTATGTATGGCCCCGCAACAAAGTTATTATGGTCATATAGTTTTTTCCCTTGTCTGTCATTCTGTCATTCTCTCATTCAGACATTCCATCATTTCCTCATTCTGTCATTCCATCACTCCTTCATTCGGTCATTCTGTCATTCCGCACACATCATTATACGCTATTTTTTTCTAAAAGCCTTCAGATATTGGGCTGATTTTTTGTATGCGAGTTAACCATGATGAGTTACAGTCAAGTTTAAGTTTCGTTCTGCTCTGCTAATTTTTGTCGAAATTATGGGCTTTGGACTTTGATAAATTGTTGAAAATCACAGTTATAAGGACTTTTTTGTTCTAAACGCCTTCAGATATTGGGCTGATTTTTGGAATGTGAGCATGGTGAGTTAACCATGATGAGTTATAGATCAAGTTTAAGTTCCGTTTTGCTCTGCTAGTTTTTGACAAAATTACGGACTTTGGACTTTGATAAATTGTTGAAAATCACAGTTATACAGATTTTTTTAGTCCCCTATCGACGAAGTCGAAGGGGACTTTAGTTTTGCACTCTGTCCGTCTGTCTGTTTTTCCATCCGTCAGTCCGGCAAATCAGTTTTCCACACTTTTTTTCTTCGTGTCTGAAGATATTGATTTGATATTTTGTATATTGTTTTATCATGACAAGTTGCAGATCAAGTTCAAATTTTGTTCCAGTCTGATAATTTTGTGCAGAGTTATGATCCTTGGACTTTGAAAATTCAATCAAATATTTAGTTTTCTGCACTTTTTTTCATCATGCTTGAAGATATTGATTGGATATTTGTTATATTGTTTTATCATGACAAGTTACAGATCAATTTCAGATTTTGTTCAGGTCTGATAATGTTATGCAGAGTTATGGTTCATGAACTTAGAAAATTTAAACAAATAATCAGTTTTCCATACTTTTTTTTTTTCGTCAAGCTTGAAGATATTGATTGGATAATTGGTATATAGTTTTATCATGACAAGTAACAGACTAAGAAAAAAGTTTACTTCTGTCTGATGATTGTGTGCAGAGTTATGGTCCTTGGACTTAGAAAATTAACTTAAATAATGTTTTCACACTTTTTAACCGGATTTTCGATGAAAATATCGGTTATCGATTTGGGGATGTACGGCGGGCGGGTGGGCGGTTTTTGTCCGTGCATTTACTCATGAACCGTTCAACCAAAGCTTTAAAAATTTTAATATGTTGTTACTGACAACAAAATGGAGGTCAAGTTCAATAATGACGATTTTGACTTTTACCGTTCAAGAGTTATGGTTCTTGAAAGATTGAAAAATGGCGTTTCTAGTCGTGTCCGTGCATTTACTCATGAACTGTTCAACCAAAGCTTTCAATTTTAAATTTGTTGTTACTGATGACAAAATGGAGGTCAAGTTCAATAATGGCGATTTTCACTTTTCCTGTTCAGAAGTTATGGTTCTTGAAAGATTGAAAAATGGCGTTTCCAGTCATGTTGTTGCATTTACTCATGAACCATTCAACCAAAGCTTTTCAAATTTTTTAATGTTGTTACTGATGACAAAATGGAGGTCAAGTAGGATAATGATGATTTTCTCTTTTACCGTTCAGGAGTTACGGTTCTTGAAATATTGAAAAAATGGCGTTTCCAGTCATGTACTCATGAACTGTTCAACTAATGCTGATTAAATTTTAATATGTTGTTACTGATGACAAAATGGAGGTCAAGTTTGATATTCAAGATTTTCACTATTTCTGATCAGGAGTTATAGTTCTTGAAAGATTAAAAAATTGAGTTACGGTTCTTGAAAGATTGAAAAATTGTGTACCATAACTCGGAAACGTAAAATCTAAAATTTATAAAAAACAAAAGGGAGCTCACGTCAATAGATATAAACAATTCACCAAAGTTGTATGCAAATTGGTTGAAGCATTTTTGAGTTAATGTTCGACATGTTGACCACGGACGGACGGATGGACGGACAGACGGACAGACAACGGTTTACCATAATACGTCCCGTAAACGGGCGTATAAAAAGTTAAAATTAAGATAAAATAAGTTGCAGATCTATATAAGTATGTTACAAATGAAAGAAAAAATATTGGGAACTATCAACTATATATATAAAGTTTGATTTTGATTTATACACTAAGTGATAAGATAAAAGACACATCTGTTAATTGTCAATGCAATCACCCAATTATAATATGAGTGACAGATTTATTGGAAAACTATTGATTATATTTGATTATAATTTAAAAATAAATATAACATCATATCACTTTACATCATATCTAATTTTAGAGTCTATAGTTAAATCATATTTAATTTTAGATTTACATTATTGGTTCATGGAAATAAAGTTTGAGTTATTTCCATTTGAACAGAAATGGTTTAACTAAGAAGTATTTCATCAAAAAATGAATTCTTGGGGTTCTTTGATATGCTGATTCTAGTAATGTACTTATATTTTGGATATTGGACCATAATAGGTAAATGTTCAATTTTAAATTTTTCAGTTCTTTGACCACATTTATTTTGTGTCACAAACCCATTCTGTATCAAATATTCAATCACAATTTAAATTCAGAGCTGTTTTAAGCTTAAATGTTGTGTCTATACTTGCTCAACTGTTCAGGGTTTGACCTCTGCAGGAAAATCCGGTTTGCTGTCTCTCTGACAGCCTCTTGTTTTATCATGCTGGAAGATATTGACTTGATATTTGTAATATAGGTTACACCATGACAAGTTATAGATCAAGTTAGCATTTGGTTCCAGTACAATTAATTTTTAACCGGTAGGGGACTATGTATTGCCATGCAATACTCTCAGAATGCTTGTTTCTATACGCATTCATATATTGGCCTGACTGATCTTTTGGTATGTCAGTTAACCATGATGAGTAATAAAGATGATAATAATAATAATTATAATGATTAATTCTTTATTTAAAGAGGGTAAACACTGTAAGCAGGTATGTTACAGTAAACTAATCTTCCCTGAGGTCCTCACATACAAAATTACATTACAATCAAAAACAGATATTTTCACATAGTCGATTAGTTCAATGTTTATTGTTCAACAGGGACATGTAGTAAAAAAATACCAATACATTGTAGAAATATAGTTTCCATAACTGCAACAAGTGTGATACGAAATTTCTCAACTCGAGACAGTTAAATTTTAATACTTAAAGAGCGAGGCTTGCCGAGCTTTTTAAATTATTAAAATTTAACTGTTGAGAATGGAGAAATATCGTAATACACGAGTTATAGTGTTGGAATCTGTTTCTCTCATGTTTTTATCCTATTTGGGAGTTCTTGCTCTTTAATGACAATTATTTTACATTGTTTTGCATTTTTGCCCATTATCTTGAAAACTATAAAACATAGATAGAAACTATATATAACAAACGTGATCAGCAAAACAACATCTACAAAAAGTTATATTTGGCTAAAATTTTTAGCAGATTCTTTATATGAGTGATTGGTTTTAAATGACAACATATTTACCCTTTTGTGTTTTGGGAAAAGACTACAAAAATTAGAGAGGAGCTGTTTACAGAAACAATCATCAGCCATACAAAATTTTAAAAAGATAATTTTGTCATGATTTCAGATTCTATTCTAGTATAAATGTCAAATTTTGAAGATGCAATTAGACCTAGGTGAGCAACACATGCACTTAAGGTCCTGCAGTTTACTTTGTACAGAAGTAAATTTATGTTTATTTACATATATTTTATTAAAATACATCTATTGAATAGTAATTTGATAAGTAATAACTTGAACACATTACCTTGGATAAATCAAAAATATTTTGAGGTGACATGTATGTTATGTTGAATACTATATGCAAAGTAGTAAGGATTTAATGATGAATTCATTTCTTACTAATGTAAGGTTGTGAACAATGGAATGTATAAGAGATGTAAAGCAAAATTATGCAACATTCATGAAATATATGTTAGTTAATATGTACACTAATTAATTGTGTGATTATATTGTAGGGTCTTCAGTTCAGATAAAGATCAATATAATTGATGCTGACAAATTGATTTTGGTCATGGATGAACAGAAATCACATACGCATCAACATTTTTTATAGAGTTCTTGTTTGTTTTTTCAATTTATAGTTTGAAATATTTAAATATATTATGTTGTTCTTTATTTTTGATTATATATATATAACAAGTTTTGTAAAGGAAGTTTTTTATAATAATAATGTAACTTTAACGAAAGCATTTTGCTGAGATAATTGACCATATTTTAACCCTAACCCTTAAACAATGAGGAAAATGCCTTTTACCTGTATATTTAAAAGATGCTTTATTATGTGTTGACAATAGCAAGGTTTTTGCAAAGTTCCAAGATATTCCAGTTCCAGTTCCATTCCAGTTTGATCAATGATAAAGTATGATGCTTACCGTTTGTCTTTTATTTAGGAATGAAATTGAACTATTTTAATCATTAAAGGAGGAAATATGATAAGAGCCATTATTGGATCCCTGAAATGGCGAATTACGTATGCAAATCCTTTAAAATCATGTTAATTTATTGGTTATTTTAGTGCAGAAAGGTCACTGATGTCATAAACATAAATTGAAATGCGCATGAAATGTCATTTTATGCATAGTTTTTAGACAAAACTTCAAGGCCATACATAAAAAGACAGTTTACAGACATAACATTTTTGTAAAATACATCTCATAAAAATATCTTTATGGGGAAACTAATAACATCTCAAAATGCGGCTGCATTGGCAATTTTCCCTCACTTTTGAAGCTTTTGTAGAAATTTTATTGGTAAGACAAAATTCAAAACTTCACAAACTAACACAAAGAGGTTATTGTCTTTATATTATGAAGGATATTTTCAGAATTCAAGGGACCAAAAAGGAGGCTTAATCAGTCATTCTCCTTTATGAAATTTTAGCTTTGTCTGGTGGTATAAGTGATGATATATTTTTGACCTTATTAAAGATGTGCTTGTAAATAATTTATAAATTATATATTTTTAATGTGTTTAGTTGTATATTTAGTGTTTATATGCTGGGTAATGATTTTTGTTTTAACAGGGTTTTTACGTATTGATCTTGTATCTTTGCTTGTAAGATTAATAATTGACACTATTATTAAATAATCCTTATCTTATCTTATCTTCAAATAATATCAGTCAAAATTGTCTTTTAGGGGAAGGAAAAAGTAATCAAAACAAGAACTTTTACCCCTACCCAATATTTTGGAAAGTTTGAAGCAGCAACTTTATTTTTTGTTTGCATTTCGGCTTTACTGCATGTAATACTGCACTTATTTAATGTAATTAAAATGACTTTCCATCTTAAGTATCTAAAATTAAGAATGCTTTTTGTTTTGACTGTAATGGCTATGAAATTGTTATATTAAACGTTTTTAACTCAATGTTGAAAAGAAATAACTCAGAAATGTTTAATATTTTTTTGTCATGAAACAGCTTTGCTTCAAATCATTTCTATTATGTAAATAACATTTTCTTGTTTAGTTACAATAATTTGAAGAGTCAAATTTATCTTTTGAATAGTAAGGCTTCATAAAAATGAGACGAGAAATGCGGAATGTGTCAAAGAGACAACAACCCGACCAAAGAGCAAAAAAACAACTGAAGGCCACCCGGAGGCGTGTTTTCAGATGGCCCCTAAACAAAAATATGTATTAGTCTAGTGATAATGTGCTAAATTCCAAAACATATAAATGTACTAAAATTAAAAATCATTAAAGACTAACAAAGGCCAGAGGCTCCTGACTTGGACCAGGCGCAAAAATGCAGCGGGGTTAAACATGTTTTGTGAGATCTCAACCTCCCCCTGTACCTCAAGCCAATGTAGAAAAAACAAACACACACATTCATGTTTGATTGACATATCAGTGTATGGTCTAAATATCGTCAGATAGTAGCAAATTGTAGTCCAAAGTTGTTATAGATCTCTTTCAATGAAATACTGAGATTATTATCAAAAGCTAAATAATTTTCAATATTTTATAGGTATATTATGAAGCATGATTTTTATACGGGACGTATTATGGTATACCGTTGTCCGTCTGTCTGTCCGTCGTCAACATGTCGGACATTAACTCAAAAACGCTTTAACCAATTTGCATAAAACTTTGGTGAATTGTTTAAATTTATTGACGTGAGCTCCCTTTCATTTTTTATAAATTTTAGATTTTACGTTTCCGAGTTATGGGGTTTTATTCATTTAAAAAAAGGGGGATTTTCCAATTTTCGGACAATAACTCAAGAATGCTTTCACCAACTTGCAAGAAATTGTGGTGAATTGTTTATATCTATTGACATGAGCTCCCTTTCGATTTTTATAAATTTTAGATTTTACGTTTCCGAGTTACAGGGTTTTATTAAAAAATAAAGGGGGATTTTCCAGTTTTCAGACAAAAACTCAAAAATGCTTTCAGCAGTTCTTATGAAACTTTGGTGAATTGTTTATATCTATTGATATGAGCTCCCTTTAGAATTTTATAAATTTTCCATTTTACATTTCTGAGTTATGGGGTTTTATTCATTAAAAAGGGGGGGATTTTCCAGTTTTCGAACAATAACTCAAAAATGCTGTCAGCAATTCTCATGAAACTTTGGTGAATTATTTATATCTATTGATGTAAGCTCCCTTTTGATTTTGATAAATTTCTAATATGACATTGAGAATTAATTGAACTTTATTTGTTTATAGTCTGACAACAGATTTACTAAGTATTGCACAACAGCACAGTGTATTGCACAATAGCAAGAAATCTTCAATTGAATATAAATTCAATTCATATAACCAATTTCAACTTCTTTGACTACATTTATTCAGAAACCTGTAATATGTCAAATATTTAATTACAATCCAAATTCAGACCTGTATCAATCTTGAATATTGTGTCCATTTTTGCCCCAACTGTTCAGGGTTGGACCTCTGCAGGCGTATCCAACTGCGCTCAGCGAAGCAGTTTATTATTCTTTTGTCCCTTGAATTTATATGACAGTGATGTCTGTAATGTTGTCATGCAAATCAAGAATATTCCATTTAAACGTGTTATGGATGCATTTTCAAATTTGTTATTGTCAAGGGTCAAAGCAAATTGAGATTAATGATGAAGAAGTGTTATGAAATAAAGGATCACAAATGTAAAACAAATCTGGTGTTATTTATGGTTAGATTTGTTATTTTCTAGCCAAAAATGTAATATCAATAAGATAATATGTAAAGCTACTAGTACCTGGTTTCTCATTTTAAGATTATATCGACATGTTCAAATGAATTGTGTTGATTCTCATGTAAGCAGAAGACATTCCGCTGAATCTCTGAAAATAATGGTTGTTTCTTTTATTTAATAAAAAATGTTATGTCTTGAGATTTTTTGTCTTGCCTCTACAAAGTTCAAAAAGCTTTACTTTGGCATACACTCGGCTTCAACAAGATTAAAATTGACTACCAGTAGATCAGTTTAAGTGGAAACTATAGTGGAAGATAACCGATGTATGGTATGCAGTTTTATAACCATTGTTACATGTAGTTTCCATTGGGACTATTTGGCCCTTCAACCTTAGTTATTGACGCTTAGCATGGTTAACATGAAAAATTTTGTGAATAGATCAGTTTAATGGGAAATCACAAGTGGAAGGCCAGGGATATTTGGTATTCAGTTTTAATATAAGCATTGACTAATTTTTTTATCATGTACATACTTTGACCTGCCCCTCAATCGTGGCCTATTTTTTTTTAATTTTAAGATATGGGCAAAAGATACCAGAGGGACTTTTAAACTCATAGATCGAAAATATACTGACAACGCCATGGCTAAAAAAAAGACAAACAGAGAAACAAAAGTACATAAGACACAACATAGAAAACTAAAGACTAAGCAACACGAACCCCACCAAAAACTAGGGGTGATCTCAGGTGCTCCGGAAGGGTAAGCAGATCCTGCTCCATATGTGGAACCCGTCGCGTTTCTCATGTTATTAAAAAAAACGGTGAATAAGTCGGTAGGTCATATTCGTGGAAAGAGAACTGTAGTTCCGACAAAAGGAATATATCCGATATCATCTGTGAAACGGATGTTCTATAACTCTGATGTCGTCCGAAAAATATACGATGGGATGATTTCAACTTAACCACTTGGAACTCTTGGTTTAATAGCTTTCTTGTGAGCAGCAACTCTCTGTCGTGGAAATCATGATAGGAAATGCAAGCCTGGGAGTATCAATCGGGAGATATATACTTCGTATGCAGGCGCTGCTGGAATGTTGCTACAGAGAAATGGAAAGTTCACAATTGGGAAGCTGAAATCATCTCTTTTATCGTAAATTTTTGTTTTCAACCAACCCTCATTGTCAATTTAAAGATTGAAGGATATGAGACAGACTTAACTGTATCTGTTGTATCCTTTATCTCTAGTTCGATGGGATACTAGTTCAACAAAGTCACCTATTTTGAATTATTTAGTGAGAGAACATCATCTATACAGTGGAAAGTAAATTTAAAGGATATTGCTAACTTCTTTTCTATCTTCCCAAGAAGTTCTTGTATGAAGTCAGTCTATAAGAATAAAGGAACAAGTCGGCAAGAAGAGGGGCACAGTTGGTTCCCATGGGAATGCTGATTGTTTGTTGAAAAACACGTCCTCCAAACGTAACAAATATGTTGTCAATCAAGAAATCAAGCATCTTGATAATGTCTAAAGTTTTTAATTATATCAGATTATGATAAGATGAACCACTAATGTATGGGGTGTGCCATTTTTAAAGGAGGTTCTGATAATCAACATTGTTTTTTTAATTGTACAAAGAATCATGAGTACCAATAGCCTTTAACCCAAGACATAATTTCAAATTTTTATGCCCCCGCCGTAGCGGAGGGGGCATTAAGTTTTACCCTTGTCCGTCCGTACGTACGTACGTACGTCCCAAAATTGGTTTCCGTTCTCTAACTTTAGTTTGCCTCAACCAAATGTTATGAAACTTTTACACAATGCTGATTACCATAAAACACAGATCAAGTTTGAATTTTGGTGGCGTCACTTTTACCGTTCTAGAGTTATGCCCCTTTACAAATGGAAAAAATTGCTGAATTTTTCGTTTCTGTTCTCTAATTTTAGTTTGCCTCAAACAAATGCTATGAAACTTATACACAATGCTTATTACCACAAAACATAGATCAAGTTTGAATTTTGGTGGCGTTACTTTTATCGTTCTAGAGTAATACACCTTAAGAAATGGAAAAATTGCATATTTTTTATTTTCTTCTAAATATTTAGTTATTTTTAAAATTGGAGTTATCTTCCTTTGTCCATGATTATAGTTGAATCAACTACAATCAATGCTTTATACAATGCAATGTTTAATTTTGACTTCCACTGATAAAACACAGATCAAGTTGAATTTGGGTATTGTCACTTTAACCATTATTGAGTTATGCCCCTTTATAAATCGAAAGATTGCAAAATTTTTAGTTTCCATTCTGTAACTTAAGTTTGCCCCAACCAAACATAATGAAACCTATACACAATATTCATTACCACAAAACTAAGATCAAGTACAAATTTTTTGTTTCCATTTTCCAACTTTAGTTTGCCTCAACCAAATGTTATGAAACTTATACACAATGCTTATTACTACATAATACAGATTAAGTACGAAATTTGGTGGCAACACTTTTACCATTCTTGAGTTATGTTCCTTTATAAACATAAAAATTGCTGAATTTTTCGTTTACGTTCTCTAACTTTAGTTTGTCTCACCCAAATGTTATAAAACTTATACACAACCGTTCTAGAGTTATGCGTGTTTACAAATAGAAAAATTGCTGAATTTTTAGCTTCTGTTCTCTATTTAAGTTAGCCTCAACCAAATGTTATGAGACTTACACACAATGCTTATGACCACAAAACTCAGATCAAGTTCAAATTTGGGTAGCGTCACTTTTACCCTTCTTCAGTTATGTCCCTTTATAACTATATGATATGCAAGCGGGGGCATCATCTGTGTCCACATGTGGACACTATCCACATATTTTAATTAGTTTTTAACCGGATTTTCGAAGGAAATATCGGTTATTAAAATGGTGATATACGGCGGGCGGCTGGGCGGTTTGGCGGCTGCCAAACAGTGTCAGCACAATAACATGAAAACGCTTTTACAAATTATTTCAAATTTAAATATGTTGTTTCCTGGGACTTAATGAAGGTTTCTAATAATTTTCAAGATTTTAGTATATCTCCTTTGTGAGTTATCGCTATTTTTAATATCCAAAAGTAGAATTTTAAAATATTTTACTGTTGTTATCTGACATGTTATGATTTGTCTTATCTCAGAATAAAAATTGGAGTGACAGATTTATTTGAAAATTATCTATTTCCTAAGTGGTAATGATTATAAGCTATATCATTAGACATTTTGAAGATTATTACATTATTAATTATGTTAGAGTACTATGTTAAACAACCATAGTTCTGTTCAATTAGATATTATAAATATTTCAGCATATGATAATGATTAATTTTCATTATTAATTAAATCTTGGAAATATTTTAGCATATGATAATCATTGGAGTGACAGATTTATTTGAAAATTTTCTGTTTTCTGATAAGATCTGTAGGACTGTATATATGCAGTTTGAAACTTACTAGTATTACTGTATAAATGAGGTTTGGAATTTACTGTTCATTATTAGACATTTTGTAGATAATTAAGTGTCCGTTACTCATATATATTCTTACCCCTACCCCCCCCCCCCCTCCCCTTCAATTTAATAATGTGCTTTTATCTTGTAATCGGTTGAGATCCCTACTCCTAAACCATATATATTCTTGTATGGGACAATAAAACAAATCAAATGAAATATAGGGTTAGTCCTCGGGTTCACAGCTACCCTCCTTTTTTTTAAACTTGTAAATGTGCAAGCTCCCCACCCTGAAACCATAAATATGCTTGTATGTTACAAATCAAATGAAATAAAAGGTGAGTCCCCTGGGGTCACCCCCAGCGTGTCTGTTTGAGATCTTGTAAACGGTCAAGATCCCCACCCCTAAACCATATATGTAGGACTCAAATCTATGGCGGGTTCCAAATCTATGGCAGATTCCTAATCTATGGCAAATGTGACGTAATAACGTCAAACAAATCAAATCTATGGCAGATTTTTGTTTTCTCCAAATCTATGGCAGATCTTTAAATTATTTCACAATAGAATAACGCAATATTACATCGTCGCCGCCGCAAACGGTGGCGGAACTCATAGATTTGAACACGATTCCAGATGAAGGTATTTCCCTCGACAACAATTTGCGGATGGTTTAAAGGAAGATATGACCTATTATCCGGAAGAGGGACAAAATGTGCTGTACCGGCCGAAAACCGCGATGAATAAGGGCACCGCTTTTTTCAGTACCGGATATTTTAGAAAAGGAGTTATGGTAAATATTTTACTGTCTACAGCTGGCAAAGTTTATAAAGTGAAAGATAAGATTACCGGATACCAATTTGATTTAAATCGCCATCAAATAAAAATGATATTAACGATGAAGTAAATATTATTTGAAAATTCAAACTGTTCATTTCTATTTATCATTTTTGTTTTATAAAAAAACTATCCCCTTTTTTTGTTTATAAGGGACTTATTAGCTGGTTTAATGAATGGGTTAAATAGGTAACATGCAGATTAAAAAATGTTTATTTTTACGGTGCACATCATTTCAATCTTGAAGTCTTTATTAAGGTATATGATTTCATCATTTACGAATTTCATTGGTTGCCAACACGATTTGGTTGACCATTATGAAATGTTTATTTCACAAATATTTATATACATGCTCCCGTCGTACATGTCCAATTGTTTACGACAAGTCATTGGTCGTATATGTACTGCATTGTTTTCAATTTGCACAAAATTTGCCATAGATTTGAAAACAACAAAAAACCCGCCATAGATTAGGAAATTACAAAACTTGCCATAGATTAGGATTGTAAAACAATCTGCCATAGATTTGGGATGGCATGACGTCACATTTACCATAGATTATGAATCTGCCATAGATTTGGAACCCACTATAGATTTGAGTCCTACATATATATTTTTGTATGGGACAATAAAAGAAATCAAATGAAATATAGGGGAAGTCCATTGTGGTAACCCCTCACCCCTTCTGTTTGAGGAATTGTAAACGGTTGAGATCCCCACCCCTAAACCATATTTATTCTTGTATTTGACAATAAAACAAATCAAATAAAATTTAGGGGAAGTCCACGAGGGTAAACCCCACCCCCTTCTTTTTGAAAACTTGTAAACAGTCAAGATCCCCACCCTGAAACCATTTTTCTTCTTGTATATTACAATAAAACAAATCAAATGAA